AATTCCTTCCACAGATGTAGTCAGGATCATTCCTGTGCAGTCCATCAGGTAAAGTCCATGTATTAGGTCACCATATCATTCATTGGACATACAAAGTTAGATGGTTCTCTTTCCAGCCCCATTTTTATCACCCAAGTTCATATTTTCTGACTATCATTTCTTCATTGTTTCTAACTTTTGCAATCTAGTCATCAGTTAACACATCTTGATTACATGTTTGAACCATTTCAGACTGCAAGATTAGGTAAAAATTTTCAATTTCCTTCTCTTTTGACTTCAACTGTAGGAGCGTTTATTTGAATAATAGTCTTAACAGGTCGTCTTTGTTTGAGTATAAATAGTAGCCTGTCTCACCCACAACATTATACTTAAGGATAGAATTTGAAATTGTCTTTTTAACTATGAATACAACACCATTCTTCCTCTGTTTTTAATTCCCAGCATAGTATACCATGTGATTAGCTGGTTCAGAGTGGTCAAAGTTAGTCCATACCATTTCACTAATTCTGAGACTGTTGATGCTCATATGTTACGTTTCCTCTTTGAGAACTTCTAGTTTTCCAACATTGATGCTTTGTACATTCCATGTTCCAGTTATTAAAAGATGCTGCCACTGTTTTTTCTCATTTTGATTGTGTTCCACTCTGTTCATGACTCTATGAACAATTTGTTCTAGTTGTTGTTGTTATGTGCTTTCGAGTCATTTGCGACTCATAGCGACCCTATGTACAACAGCCCTAAACCCTGCTCTAACCTGTGCCAATCGCACTGCCTCTGACACACCCATCCTGATTACCCCAGTCACTGAATCAATCCATCTCATAGAGGGTCTTCCCCTCTTGTGCCGTCCTTCCACCCTCCCAAGCACAATGTCCGTCTCCAAGGACCTGTCCCTCCTTGCAACATGCCCAAAGTATGTCAGACGAAGCCCCAGAATCCTTGCCTCCAAGGAGTAGCTTGGTTTAACCCTCTCTGGGATGAATCTGTTTGTTTTCTTGGCAGTCCATGGTACATTCAATACTCTTCTCCAGCACCACAACTCAAAGGCATCAATTCTCCTTCTGTTCTGTTTAGGCTAACCTAATTTTAGAATCCCAGAACATTGATTGTGTTTATGCACAACCTATACTTGGACCAGGAGGCAGTTGTCAAAACAGCAAGGAGACACTGCATGGTTCAAAATCAGAAGGTTTTATGCCAGAGATGCATTCTGTCTCCATACCTTTTTTTTTTTTTAAATTTTATTATTTTGTGTGTGTGTACTGTCAAATCGGATCTGACTGGTCCAGGAGGAGATTGCCCCTCCTTTTCCAGCAGAGCATCTGGTGGATTTGAACCACATATCTCTGGGATTGCAATGCAGCTTCTTGCCAGTAGGCCACCAGAGCTCCCTCTCTCCATACCTTTTCAATCAATGTGCAGAGCAGAACATCTGGGAGGCTGGGCTGTATGAGGGGGAATGTGGCATCAGGGTTCGAGGAAGTCATCAACCACCTGCTTATGCAAATGACACAACCCTGCTTGCTGAAACTGAGCAGGGATTGCAGCCTTCAATATTGATTGAAGCTCAACATCAAGAAAACTTAGATTCTCACCACTGGGCCAGTTGGCAGCATCACGGTGGAGAGTGAAGACATTGAGATTGTTAATAGCTTTAGTTTGCTTGGCTCCACAATCAACACTCTTGGTACTAGCAACCAGGATATCAAGAGACTAATTGCATTTGTAAAGTCTGTTGTCAGGGACCTCTCCAGAGTACTAAAGAGCAACGACGAATGTCTGGAGACTAACCAGGACATAGTCTTTGTAGATGCTTGCTGTGAGTCAGAGAGCTGGACAATGACTAGGGATAATAGAATTGATGCCTTTGAACTGTGGTGCTGGAGAAGATTGTGAATATACCATGGACTGCCAGGAGAACAAATAGGTTTGTCCTAGAAAGAATGAAGCCAGGCTGCTCCTTGGAGTAAAGGATTCTGAAGCTTCGCCTGACATACTTTGGGCATGTTGCAAGGAGGGACCAGTCCTTGGAGAGGAACATCATGCTTGAAAAAGGTGGAGAGAAAGAGAGGGAGACCATCGTTGAGATGGATTGATAGAGTGATTGGGATAATGAGGGTAGGTGTGTTGGAGCCAGTCAGCGCAGGATAGAGCGGTTTAGGGGCTGTTGTACATAGGGTCACTATGAGTTGCAAGCAACTCGATGCCACTTAAAACAACATAACATTTTTTTTCAGAAATGAAAATCTGCCACTAGTGTTTTTATAAAGCTGGATAGTGACTAAGAATGACAGAAGAAATGATGGCTATGGCAGACTGCCAAGAGAATAAACAGGTCTGTCCTAGAGAAAGTAAACCTTTTTTTCAAGATGTCTCACATACTTTGTGCATGATGTCAGGAGGTGCCAGTCCTTGGGGGAGGACATTATGGTTGGAAGGGTAGCAGGCCAGTCAGTGCAAGAGGGGAAGTCCCTTGATGAGATGGATTGACACAGTAACTTTGGCAATGAGATCAGGTATGTCAGAGATGGTGACATTGGCTCAGGATAGGGCAAGCTTCATAGGATCACTGAGTCATAGTTGACTTCACAACACATAACAAAAAGCATATCCTAGAAAATAATTTTGTAGTTTTCCACTATAACTTGTAAAGGTACTAGTTCTTACCCTTTTAAAATTTCAGTAGAACTTAACTCTTCCAAGCTGTGGTTTTGGGGTGGGGTTTTTAAATTTATTTTTAAATAAAATTAATTACATAAACAACAATATATATGCTGTATAGAAAACTAGCTATATAGTTTTATTATCTTCTAAGGACATCATGCTTGGGAGGGTGGAGGGGCGGTGCAAGAGGGGAAAGACCCTCTATGAGATGGATTGATTCAGTGACTGGGGTAATTGGGATGGGTGTGTCAGAGGCAGTGCGATTGGCACAGGATAGAGCAGGGTTTAGGGCTGTTGTACATAGGGTCGCTATGAGTCACAAACGACTCAATGGCACATAACAACCACAAGGAGTATTTGGACTATACCCCTCTTCAAGACACATTTGTTTGTCCTCTTCGACAGTCCATGTGATCATTTAGTACTCCAACACAACTCAAAGGCATTGATTGTTTTATAATCTTTATTGACTGTCCAACTCTCAGATGCATAGCAGGTAATTGAAAAGACTTGTATCAGGTGCACCTTAGTCTTTAAACTGACATCCTTGGTTTTTAGATGTTTGTTTTTGGAGATGTACATACATACCTGCTAGGTCATATGATATTTTTTTAACTTAACTGGTGAATTGTTAAGACTGTTCTGTTGCCGTACCATTTTGCGTTCCTGTTACCTCATTCATTTATGAGACTTCCAATTTCTCACAATGTCACTTTACTGTTATTTTTAAAAATTTTAAAAATTAAAAGTTAGCATTTGTACCCTTATCTGTAGGGTGTTGTGCTGCTAATACCTCTCTGGCAGTTCAGATCCTCCAGGTGCTCCAAAAGAAACAAATAAGCAATCTCTTCTTGGTGCAGTTGACAGCCTCAGAAGCCCTATGGAGGGTCAACTGTGAATCAGTTCCAACTCCATGGCAATGAGTTTATAGTAGATGTTATATGTGATTCAAAAAGAAGACAATTCTAGAGTTTGAGGTCTACTGGAGTATAAAGTAGAGATCTCTGGTGGCATAACTAACCGAAAATCAAGTTTGAGTCCTCCAGCTGTTCCTCTGAAGAAAGATGGGCCATCTCCTCCCATAAAGATTTATTACCTTGAAAACTCAGTATAGGGTCTCTGTCAGTTGGAATTAACTGTCATCTTTAGATTTTTCAGTAGCTGTTTGGTTTTTGGTTTGTTTTTTTTGTTTGTTCGTTTGTTTGTTTGTTTGTTTTCAGAAGAAAACTGACAGGCCTTTTTTTCCAGAGGGCTAGTTCATAAAGAGAGTTACACTGCTAGCTCAAAGGTGTGCCTCCTTAGCTATCCAAATCCATTAGTAGAGGAAGACATGCACTCCCTTCTCATGCCATTTATAGCCTCTGAAATCCTGTTGGACAGTCAGTTTTAAAGTCAGTTCCTACTTGGTTGCCGTGAGAAAGAAGAGAGTTTGAATATAGTGAGTTTTGAGCAGTAGAGAAAAGTCTTCCTTATTAACTGTTAGACTAAAAGAATTGAAATTTTGTGGTTGGTGGAAAGATAGAAAATTTCTGAGCAGGATAGTGATAAGATTTGGGCTTCGATTTGGGAAGAGAGCTCTAGAGACTAAGTTGGAAGATGAAAAGGCTGGTTATATCAGTGAAGCCAGTTTATAAATTTTTACTTGAGATATTTTAAACCTGAAGGGTGATGATATTGTTGTGTGCCGTCCATTTGACACTGACGCATAGCTGAATCTTCAGCTGGTTTTCAGAGGCAGTAAATTGGCATGGGAGGAGATTGCGTATGTAGAAAAGAGGAATGCAGTATAGATGAATTGAAAACTTTATCTCTTTATACCCTCCCTAGAGTTCGTCTTTCCCCCAACTTTAAACATCATTTACCTAACAATGACAATTCCGAAAATTAACATTTCTAGAACCTACCTTTCCTAATTTCAGACCACATACTTGACATCAATTTTTCTTACAATCTTAATTTTTCTTTCTTAAGAGACTTATAAGTAATGAGCTCTGTGTGTGTGTGTTTGTGTGTGTGTGTCTGTGTGTGTGTGTGTACACACTTACCATCAAAACAGATCTGACTGGTACAGGAAGAGAAAGCAGAGCATCTGGTGGGTTCGAAATGCATACCACTGGGATTGCAGTTAAGTGGTGCCTTTAAAAAAAATAGTAAGGGCGAGGCGCCCTGTGCTGGAGGCGGGCTGCGATCGCACGCAGGGTCAGGTTTGCGCACTGACTGCGGCTACTGTGCTCGGACCTGAGCTGTGTGCGCTCGCTGGAGAGGTCGCGCTCAGTACGGCGTTTCCTTCCCCGTGTCCTACGCGGCTGCAGGCCCTCGGTCTGACCTAGCCTTACCATGGCTTCTGCTTTGGAAGAGCTACAGAAAGATCTAGAAGAGATAAAAGTGTTCCTGGAAAAGACCAGTAGAAAAAGAATCCGTGATGCCCTTACAGCTGAAAAATCCAAGATTGAGACCGAAATCAAGAACAAGATGCAGCAGAAATCAGAAGGGAAAGCAGACACCCATGACAGTGAAAAGCCCGCAGCTGTGGTAAATCCCATTACAATGGGGTATACAGTGAAAATCAGCAATTATGGATGGGATCAGTCAGATAAGTTTGTGAAAATTTACATCACTTTAACTGGAGTCCATCAAGTCCCCGCTGAGAATGTGCAGGTGCATTTCACAGAGAGGTCATTCGATCTTCTGGTGAAGAACCTAAATGGGAAGAATTACTCAATGATCGTGAACAACCTTTTGAAACCTATCTCTGTTGAAGGCAGTTCAAAAAAAGTCAAGACTGATACAGTTCTTATCTTGTGTAGAAAGAAAGCTGAAAACACACGGTGGGACTATCTAACTCAGGTTGAGAAAGAATGCAAAGAGAAAGAAAAGCCTTCCTATGACACTGAAACAGATCCCAGTGAGGGATTGATGAATGTTCTAAAGAAAATTTATGAAGATGGAGATGATGATATGAAGCGAACAATTAATAAAGCCTGGGTAGAATCAAGAGAGAAGCAAGCCAAAGGAGATACAGAATTTTGAGACTTTTAAAGGTCCTTTTGGGAACTGTGATGTGGAAATATTGATGTTTCCAGGAAGGGGAATGTTGGTGAGCTGTACAGATAAAATTTGGCGTCTATTTACACAGCCTTCTTCCAAGTAAAGACAGTGAATTCTCCATTTCCTGCTGGAGGATTTATTTACATAAAATATGTTTATTAAACACTTCCTCCGAAGATGATTTCATTAGTACCCTGATCATTTTACTAAAAAATGGGGTATATTTCTTTTCCTCCTTAAGTTTAAAACTGCAAATCTTGCCTAATTGAAGTGCCATATTATGTATGCTTTTGCTCAATTAAGTAAAAAAAGTTACTTATTGCTTTTAAGTTACTGACATCAGCTTCTACTTATGTAAGAATGTGTGCTGTCAAGTTTATTCCGACTCCTGGCCTCCCTCTCACCCCCACCCCACGACAGTAGAACTGTTCCTGAAGGTTCCTAGGCTGTAATCTTTATGAGAACAGATGACTAGGTCTTTTCTTCCAGGACTGGCTTGTGAGTTTCAAATGCCCTTTCAGTTAGCTGTTATGCATTTAACCATTGTACTAACCAGGGATCCTTGCAGAAAATGAAATTTGTATGCTTAAAAGTTGCAGTAGAAAACAATTGTTAGGTGTCATTGAGTACTTATTGCTGTAGATTCTGATTCACGGCAACCACATATATTGTAGAGCACAGCTGTGCCTAATCAGTTTAAGACTTAATATTTTGAAAGCAGATTGCCAGGCCTTTCGTCCAAGGTGCCTCAATGGGTTCAAACTGTCAGCCTTTGATAGCAGTTGAGCATAATATATCATGCATCAGCATGCACTAATACTCCAGTCGAGTTTCTATTTAAACAATTCATTGTGAACATAGACTTGAAACTCAAGTTGACAAGAACAGAAAAGTATCTTTGTATAATACCAGTTAGGTTTATTATGAATTGAATGGCTTATCGAAGCAAAAGGAATTACTTTGGAAAATAGTTATCCCTATGTCCAATAAAATTAGATTGTACGCAAAAAAAAAAAATAAATAGTAAGGGTGAGGGAAGAGTGGGCAGGGAGAAAAGTGCAACAATGAATGAATGGAAATCTAAAATCTCTGTAAATGACCATTAAAATGAATAAAATTAAAAAGAACAGAAGAAGAAAAAAAATAGTAAGCAAAATCTAGAAATCATTGTATTAGTCACCCTATATAATTAGCCACAGCCCAAAAAGCATCACTAAGAAATTAAAAAATTTGCAGAACAAAGTAATGTGATTATAAAAACATTTTGACTCTGAAAGAAAAAGATTTGTAATTCTGGCATCTGAACAAACCCATCACCTTCATTTTCATATGTTCCTACTACTCTTTTACTTCCAGAACAGAAATAATGTTACTTTTGTCATCTTTCATTTGTTTTTGTTTTTTTACTAAACACTGCTGTCCATCATCTATCCTCTTCCCACTACACCTTATGCGAATGTATGTACTGCTGCACAACTCTCCACAGGAGTATATTGGAGGTAGTGGATAGATTGTCGTTAGAGAATAGTTTCAGAATGTTCACACCACTAGCAAAGTTTTTGTCAGTTGTTTATTCTCTACATTCACTGCTTTAGTACATCCTGCTACATAAGTTAAAAAGAAGTGTCTAAGTGTAAACTAGAAAACTGGAATAAGCCTAGTGATCTTTGTAAAGAGAATTTGCTTCAGATTGAACTCTTTCTGCGTGACTAACAGTTTCATCAGCTTATGCTAAATGGTCATTATAATAATGATAATCATAATAATGATCAGCTAATAAATCATCTCTCTACCTTGGATCTTAGTTCTCTGGTTTGAACCAGAATCTCAAGATAAAGTACAGTTAGGTTATTTATTATTAAATTCCCAGGTTATGAATTTCCAGTTTAAGTACAGTTTATAGTTAAGAACCAAACCCTCTTAAAGCATAATATATCAAAAACCCAAAATACATGCTCTGGTTTGTAGTGAATAGATACAGCATGTATCAGAACATTATTAGTAGTTGTTAGGTGCTGTTGAGTAGGACTCTTAGCAACCTATGAACAGTAGACTTGAACTTTGTCCTACTGTATTATTACAGTAGGCGAAAGATGTTTTATAATGTATCTGGAAGTGTTTCTTGAATTTTTTTTATGCAAAGAAAAGGCATGTGGTTTTAATCCACTAGCTGTTCCGCAGGGGAATAATGGACAATCTGTGCATATACGGCCTCTGGAAATCTGCAGGAAGATCAGCTGTGAATCCATTCAGACTCAACAGTGCATGACAACAACATGCATAGAAAGCTACACTAAGATGTTTGACTGATATTAGTTACATTAAGAACTACACCTGTTTGAAGTGAAAAATAGAAGACAGATTTAAGCATGACATTCTTAATTTGAGTGCCCCATACACAACAGTTAATTTTGTATTTTCCATTGTTGTTAGATGCTGCACAGTTGACTGAAACTCAGCAGTTCTGTGAATGCAGATCAGAACCTTGCCCTATCCTGCCCCATCTGCAAAATTTGTTTACTTAAGGCCATTGTTACACAGTTAATGTATCAATCTATCTTGTTGAAAGTTTTTCTTTCTCTGATCCTCCACCTTTCCCAGCAAGATGTCCTTCTCCAAGGACTGGTCTCCTGATAACATTCCCAAAGATGAGTGAGACAAAGTTTCATCATCCTTGCCTTGTACAGAACATTCTTAAGTGCACTTCCCCCAAGACGGATTTATTTGTCCTTTTACATTCAGTATATTCATTACACTTATTTCAAAGTTTTTTTAAAAAAAATTTGTACATTCGGAAGTTTTACTTTCAATACTGAATTCCTATATATAGTATGCTCAGTACTCTTTGCCAATACCATAGTTCAGAGGCATGGATGTTTCTTCTGTCCTCCTTTTTCATTGTCCAACTTTCAGGTCAAAAGGAAACAGTTAAAATACCATGACTTGAATAAGGCAAATCTTAGTCTTTATAGTGACATCATTGGTCTTTAGCACTCTGGTAAGGTCTTTAGCAGCACATTTCCCCCTACATAACGTCTTTTGATTTCTTGAATGTTACCCCCATGAATGTTGATTGTGGGTTCAAGTAAAATTAAATCATTGATAACCTCAGTTTTTTCTCCACCTGTTGTGTTCTTTCTTACCTGTTGATTGGCTCAATGGTGATAATTTTTGTTTTCTTAATGTTGAGGTGTATGTAACTCATATTGTAGACTTTGATCTGCAACTAGGAGAGGACATCAAGTCCTATTCACTTTTCTGGAGGCAAGGTTGTAGATGAGTCTTCCTCTAATCCTAATGCCACATTCTTCTTCATGTAGTCCAGTTCCTCAAGTTACTTACTCAGCATACTGATTGGATATGTTTGGAGAAAGGATACAACCTTGATGCATGCTTTCCTGATTTTAAACCATGCAGTCTTCTCTCTTTCTCTGTTCAGATAACAGCCTCTTAATTTCTGTGTAAGTTTCATATGAGCAGAATTAAATGACTGGGGTTCCCATTCTTCTCAGTGTTAATCTATGATTTATTATGCTTCACATACTCAGATGTATTTGCATGTTAAGTATAACAGATTAATCTGATATCAGCAGTAGGATTCCTCTTTCCATTGCCTCTTCTGAATCAGCTTGAATTTCTAGAAGTTCCTTGTCCATATAATGTTCCAGCTAATTTTAATTAATTCTTAGTAAGATCTCAGTAAATGTAATATAAATGATACTATTAAATAATTTTCACATTCTGTTCGATTTCTTTTTTTAATATTTATTTTAAGAATAGCAACAAATAGAAATAAAACTGAGTTGTGTTTTTTTTAAAGAATGACAACAAATAAAGGTCTCTTACAGTCAGTTGGCCAAGTAACTGTCTTCCAAATTTCTTGGCATAAGCTAGTGAGTTCATCCACGGATGCATCTGTTGATAATCTACCAGTTGATAATCCATCAGTTGATAATCATCAGTTGATAATCCATCAGTTGATAATCCGTCAGTTGATAATCCATCAGTTGATAATCCACCAGTTCCTGAGACCTTATTTTTTGTGCCAGTGCCTTTGGTGCAACTTGAATGTTTTACTTCATTACCATTGTTTCTTGATCATTTGCTTCTACTTGAAATAGGTTAGTGATGACCAGTTCTTTTTTGTATAGATGGTGGTTCTTTATTCCTTCCATCTTTTGATGCTTCTTGTATCATTCAGAATTTTGCTCATAGAATCCTTAGTATGGGACTTTAAGCTTGAATATGTTCTTTAATTCTTTCTGTTTGAGAAATGTCTCCCTTGTGGTTTTCTAACTGTAGCTCTTAGCTCATTTTTTTTAATTACCTTTTTTTTGGTTCTCTTATTGTTGCATATTTTTCTCCCTCCCTTCTCCCTTCCCTGGACTGCTTTGCAGTACACCTTTTGTCAGACATTTCTTCCCCTCATTTGCTCGAATGCAGTGTTCATTACCTATCCACTCTACCTATTCTCTGCTCACCTCTGTGTCAGTCCTATTTTATAACAGCAGTCTAAAGTATTAAGCAGTATTTGGTTTTTTGTAACTGAGATATTCAGCATAATATCTTTCAGGATCTCTCTTGTTATGTAAAAGTTTTCAAGTTATTTTTTTCAACATTGCATAATACTCCATTGTGTGAATGTACCATAGGTTTTTTTGTCCATTTGTTTGTTGATGGGCACTTGGGTTGCTTCCATTTCTTTGCTATTGTGAATAATGCAGCGGTAAACATGGGTGTGCGTTATCTGTTTTTAGTCGCAGCTCTGGTTTCTTTAGAGTGTATTCCCAATAGTGGATTTGCTGGGTCAAGTGGTACTTATGTTTCCATCAATGCCAGACTGTCTTCCATAGTTTTTGTATCATTTTACATTCCCACCAGCAGTGAGTAAAAGTTGCAGTTTCGTCACAACCTTGTGTCTTAGCACATTTTGTTTGAAGACAACCCAGCTTTGTCTTTTCAAACTACCTTTTCAGATCTCTATCTCCTTATTTCAGTATTTCTTCCTGTTTTGGCATCTGTGCATTCTAATGAAAGTTTCAGAGTTTCTTACAAATACATTTTGATCCTTCCTTTCTCTCTGGTTTTTGTAAGGACCTTTTGCTTGCTTCCTTGATTTCAGTCCATAATTCATCTTTGGTCATTAGTGTCAGTGCATCAACTCTTAACTTGAGATGGTTTTTAAATTCTGGTCATATTTTAGCTCATGTGAACTTGTTTTCTTCAGCTTTAATTTGACTTGACAGTACTTGATGTTCTGTTCAGTAGTCAACTCTGGCTTTCTTTTGATTATTAATAGTCACACTGGTTCCTTTGTAATCCATCCGATAGGGTCCATGTGTAATGGTTGCTGTTTATATTTTCTGAAAAGGTATTTGTAATGAATAAGTGATTGATCATACAAAATTGTTTTATCTCCAGCATCATTTCTGTTGCCAAGTCTGTATTTTCCAACTACCAGTCGTCCTCCTTTGTTTCTCACTTTTTGCCTTCTCAATTATGAATTCATTTTTATTGCTTTTTTAATCAGTTTCAGACTGCAAAAGTTTGTGGAAGTCCTCAATTTCTTCATCTTTGGCTTTTTTGGTTGGTATAGTTGTATTAACAGGTCTGCCTTGTATGCGTATGGATAATATCCTATCATTCTACTTCCGGATCTATCTTGAAATGTTCTTTTTTGCCTAGGAATGCATCACTCTTTAATTTTTCATTCCTGGCATAATAGATCATGATTGTCTGGTTCATAGTAGCCAATAACAGTTCATTTTCAGCTCAGTAATGTCTAAGATGTTGATCTTTATACTTCCATTTAATTGTTTAAAACTTAAAAGTTTTCCTAGATTTATACATAGTTCCACTTATTAGGGGGTGTTTGCAGCTGGTTCTCCTCTCATTTTGAGTGCTTTCCAATCATAAGTGGTTCTGCTTCCAGTGTCTTAACAGTGCTGCTCTTTTCTGTTATGAAGCTTACTTTGATTCTTTTCCAGAAAAATTTATCACAGGGACAACACTGTCATGTATTTATTACTCAAGTTACAAGTGTTGTTATGTGCTGTTGAGTCCCCTGCGACTCATAGCAACCCTGTGTACATTATTCTGAACCCTGTCCTATCCTGGGCTAGTCTCACTAATACACCTAAAATCACCCTGTCAGTCCATCTTAACTGGCATGCTTTAATCTCTAGGCTGACATCATTGCTCTTTAGCACTTTGGCGAGGTCCCTGACAGCAGACTTCCCCAACACAGTTCCTCTTTTGATTTACTGTCTACTGGTGCCAAAAGTGTTGATTGTGGAACTAGCTGAGCCTGCTGAAATTATTGACAACCTTAATCTCTTCTCCATCGCTCATGATGCTGTCAGTTGGCCCAGTGGTGAGAATCTTTGTCTTTTTGATATTACGTTTCAGTCCATATCATATTAAGTACTTGAAGTCCTCCTCGATTTCCGCAAGCAAGGTTGTATTGGCTGCATAACACAGGTTGTTGATGAGTCTTCTTCCAATCCTGATGCCACAGTCCTCCTCATACACAATGAATAGGTGTGGAGAAAGGACATAACCTTAACCCACACCTTTGCTTATTTTAAACCTTGCCATAACTCCTTCTTAGACTATGTACAGCTTTAGCATAAGTACAATAACTGTTGTAGAATTCTCATTCTTTTCAGTGTTATCCTTATTATGATCTACACATTAAAATGCCTTGCATATACAGTAAAGTACGAGGAAACATCTGGTATTCTCTGCTTTCAGTCAAGATTGATCTGACATGAGCAGTGATTTTTTTTTTTTAATTCTTTGGCCTTTTCTGAGTCCAACTTGAATTCTGGCAAGTCCTGTCAGTATAGATAATAAGTAAATAATAGTACTCATCATTAAGTTAACACTCTAGTAACACACAGCATTGGGACCGACTATTGTCAGGGACCTCTCCAAATATCCTGAAGAACAAAGATGTCAGTTTAAAGACTCAAGTGTGCCTGGTTAAAACTACAGTCTTTCCAGTCACCTGTTGTGATCTGAGAGCTGGCGGAAGAAGAATTGATGCCTTTGGGTTTTGGTGTTGGAGAAGTGTGCTGAAAGAGCAGATATGTCTTGGAGAAAGTGCAACCAGAATATTCCTTGGAGGCAAAGATGTTGAAGCTTTGTCTCACATAATTTTGGACATGTTGTTAGGATAAGACTGTTCCTTGTAAAGGGACATCGTGCCTGGAAAGGTAGAGAAATCAGCAAAGGAGAGGAAGGCCCTCAGTGATTGATGGGGTATCTGCAGCAATGGACTCTGATGTGTTAAGGATGGCACAGGATAGTCAGTGTTCAGATCTGTTACTTATGGGGTCACTATGTACTCGACTTACTGGACTTAACAATAACATATAAGCCATCGCTCCAGAAGTAATGCATTGCCCATATAGTTGAAACCCTGTAGGGCCTTTTTCTGACTTACTTCCTTTCATTTTCTTGCAGAGATATTCAGTATCCTGCCACATGAATACATGGGACCTAGTGTGCAAACTGGGAATTTATCAGTGTAATGTCCACAGAGTAACTGTTATATCAGAAAAACCTTGGGAGAATGTGCCAAAGTGCTTTTGTATTTTTTTTCCTTTTTTAATCTTAATTCAGATCTTAAGAATTTACTTCTCTTTATTGATGGGGGTTTAAGATTGTGTACCAAAAGTTTGAAGAATATTATTCTTGTTTTAGGACATAACTGTGGATGCTACTCAGTTATACTGCTGTGTGGTTGAATGCTGTAAAATAGGATAATAAACCAAAAAGCATTATGGCACTTGGCTCATTTATGGCAAACTGTTCCATTTATGAGGGGTAATCTAAAAGACCTGTTAATGTACATTTCTATATGAATTACCTTTGATTACAGACATGGTTATATAAGAAGGCAAACTTTGATCAGGTTAACTTTTAAAAAAATTATGAAGAAATTAAATCTAGTTGTCTTACTACTATAGATAGTTGCACATTAATTAAATTTAATATCTGAGTAGAATTAATATTATGATAGTTGATCCTCCATTGGATTTCCAAGGCTGTAAATAGTACAAGAAAGATTGTCTTTATTTCACAGAGCCACTGGTAGATTCGAACAAACGGGTGGCATTTGGATTAACAGCACATCTCCTCACTAACTAGGTCACCAGAGCCTCCTAGTGTATGGTTATACATTAAATTCCTGTCTAAAAAAAATGGACTTCAAGGTTTTGACTCTCTTTCGTTTGATTGGTTATTTGTCATATTTTAGCAATTATGTATAACAATGACTTTTGCCCCTTATAATGCTGTGGGTTTTTTGTTTTTTTGTTTTTTTTTCTACTCAGAGGGAAGATTCCGGTGACCTTTAAAATAATTGAGTAATGATAGAAATGGATCAAAATAATAAGTCACTTCTCTACTGATGCGGTAGAAGATTCTTCAGATCACCTTGTTGCTCAGTTCAGCTTTCGAAAGGAGACAGAAAAGACTGAAATACAGAGAACAAAAGAAGAAATCCTTACTTTGGAACTGTCTCTTGACTCTCCATTATCCCCATATTTCTACTTGTTTTAAATTTATAAATCGTGAAGACCAAAGAAAGTAGAAGATATATTTGGGAGCTATAAAATGAGAAATTTGCCTTGAAAGCTGCTATTGTGTGGCGAGAAAAGTATATCAAGCTCCTGTCTATTTGTTGGGTTCCCCCATTCCTAAAAAACCAAGATTTCTTCTATCTTTAGATTTTTAAGAATAAGACAAATGAAACACCTAACTGCACACTATTTTTAGCAACTACATAAGAAGGAGATTTGTTTTTTAAGGGCTTTGTCATGTGGATATTTTGCCACTGTAGTTGACTGCTCAGAAGATCTTTTATAGGCACTTTAAAATTATATTTTCGGTTGTCACCTTGATGACATCATTTGTTCACACATAAGCCCACCTGTCTTTCTAGCTATGATCTTGTTATGAACAGTGTTGACACTTACTGTGCAAATGTCCACATATTATCTATTTAAGCAGCATCATAGTGCCATCACTCAAGGAAGGTGAATGAGGTGAACATAGACATAGCTCTTTCCCCTTCCCCCCTTTTTTAAATGTAACAAATACCTTTTTATGTTCCCCTTCCCCCCCTCCCCTCCCCCTTCCCCTTTTTGGGAAAGTGTCAGGAACTAGATAGTTTAAGATGAGCAATTGAAGGGACTAAGACCGTGATCCACACAGAGCCTGGCTTCTTTGTGCTTCATCACAAGGCGTGCTGCTGTCCGGGCTACTTAAGCACCCTTTTACCAAGTGAACTTCGTGGAGATCCAGCTGGCAGACACAAGGAGTTCAGAAAACAGGACCACAGAGGTTACACTCTGGGGTAACTATTTTCTGTCTATCTTTGAGAGAATACTATGTGTATAATGTATCATGGAAAATAATCTACTGGTTTTTTTGAGATATTTAATCTGAAGAGTGTCAGTGGAGTGGTTCAAGAACTAATTTTTTAGAGTAATGGTGGCATGATCTGGATGTCAAAAGATCTTTCAGGAAATGGATGTTAGTTTTTGGAGGAAATGAAGATAAACTAAATTTAAAAAAACCTCTTTAGGAAGATAACTTCTTTTGATTTTGCCAGAATTTACTTGAGTACCAGAAGCAGATTAATTTCTTTTCATGGTATCAAGTACTTAAGTAGATGCAGGTTCTAAAGATGTAACTCAGGAATTCAGCAGCAGTCTTCATGCACCTTCCAGACCTAATACCATCTTTTTCCGTTTTGGTATTTTTTCATGGTGATACGTTGATGAATAACGGTTTGCTGTTTTGGTGTTGTGGGTTTTTTGGTAATAAAACATCTCAGGTAGGGATGTTTAGGCTATCTTAGATAACCTAATAAGTAGATTGAGAAGCTCAGAATGAAGGTCTTTTTATAAAGCAGGTAATATAGGATAGTCACTTACTCCACTCCTCAAATGACCTTTTGTAACACTGTCAAGTTATATTTTTGGGCTGGCATCTTGATAACATCATTTTCCCCATATCTGGTTTTTTAGCTTTGAACTTATATTAATAGCTTCTTGGCTAGTATAAATGATTTGAGTTTTCTCATTTTCAGATCCTGGCCATGAGGTTGAATGCCTCACCTTACTGAAAAAAGACACTGGACCTAAATGGCGCAGCATGACTTTGTTCCTGCTTGGCTAAATTTCTCAACACCACAGTCAGCTAAGGTAGTCTTCATTTCTATATTAACTATCCATACACCAATTCTTTTTATTTCTAATCAGTCTATGATGTGTCTTATGTCTTCAGCCTTGCCTGAAGTGTCAAAACCCATTTTCATAAACTTAAGATGTCTCTTAATAAATTATTAAAATAATATACATTTATAGGTAGTGTGTGTCTCTTGCTGCCAAGTGTCTCGGTTATATGATTAACTTTTTATATAGGGTACTTAAAACTTGTATGTTAGCTCAAGCTCACTTTTGATACAAAACATAAAGTCTAAACAATTGTTAGGATCCCTAGGGTGGTAGTTAAGCATGGAGCTTCTAACTAAAAAGATTAGTAGTTTGAATGCACCAACTTCAAGAGGATTCTTTGGAAGCCTACTTCTAAAAAGATAGACCAAAAAACCAAACCCACTGCCATTGATTCTGATTCTGAATCAGAGACTGTCCATTGGGTTTCCAAACCTCCAGATTTTTACTGAAGGAGACTGCCCATCTTGCGTCTGGGAAGCGAGGGCAACACATAATGTATTATATGCCACCAGAGCTTATTTTTGGGAAGCTCTTTAGAAATCCTGTACGGGTACTTCTGTAAGGTTGTTTGAGTCAGAGTAGACTCGTAGTCGGTGAATTTGGTTCTAGAACAGTTTTTGAGGACAGAGATAAAAAGGAAATAAATGGTCCTTAGGAATATAGAGCTTTGCAATCAATACATCTGTCAAGCAGGAGGAAAAAAAGCAATTGTTTAATTACTACATGGATCTCAGATTAAATCCTCAAAATTCTGTTAGAGTGGTTGTAATTGATACAGTGCAGCAGTGGGTTCTAGTTGTCAGATATGTTGAAGATGGCACAGGATAGGACAGCGGTCAGATCTGTACTCTGTAGCTTCTAACAACAATAGTCTACTTCAGGGAGCTCCTACTGGGACAGATAAGCCATCAGCTACTAACTGAAAGACTAGCAGTTCATATCCATTTAACAGCACCTTGGAAGACATCTTGGCAGACTACTTCTAAAAAGTCACACATGTTCTGGGGAGCGCAATTCAGCTCTGACATGTGAAGTCACTGTGAGTCCGAACCAGTGTGGTGACATTCTGTTGATTTCAGGAGAAATGTGTATATTGATGTAAAAACAAATACAACAGAGGACACAGAACAGTCTGTTACTGATAAAAGATAATTTGGGGGAGTTTGTAAGTTTAAAAATGTTTCCTATTTTGCCAACTAATAGATATTATTTTTAAAAAGTATATATTGTAAAGAGTAACAACAAAAGTTAAGAGAATTTAAGTGTTTCTAGTAAAATTATAGTAAACAAAACAGTGTATTGTATTCGTAATACTAGATATACTCATCAAACGGGATCTGACCGTTACAGGAGGAGATTGTCCCTCCTTCTCCAGCAGAGCATCTCGTGGATTTGAACCGTGTACCTCTGGGGTTGCGGTGCAGCTTCTTACCACAAGGCTACTAGACCTCCCTAATCTTTTTTAATAAGTGGTACATGGTATATTCTCATTTGCTATTTTGGGTAAGTGTTCTGTCAAATATTGCTTTAAAGCTAAACACCCAAATTAAGACAGATGAGGGAGAAAGATTGGCCATCAATTTCTGAAATAACAGGTCTCTGTAAACCCTGTGTACAATAGAGCACACATAAAGCAGCAAATATGGTACTAGAGGCTGTGCCTTCTTACTGGGAATCACAAAGGAGGAACAGTTAGAAACAGATATTAGTGATTGGAACGTGGAATATGAGAATTATGAATATAGGAAAATTGGAGAGTTAAGAAAAATGGAATACGTAAATGTTGACATACTAGGCATAGGTGAAAAGAAATGGATTGGCATAGGACATTTTTAATCCGATAATCATATGATCCACTAAGCTGGAAATGAAAAGGTGAGGGAAAATGAGATTCAATTCATAGTTAAGACTGTTTCTAGATCCACCTTGAAATACAATGCTGTGACAGGATAATATCTATACACATGTAAGGAAGTCCAGTGAATACCACTATCATTTAGATTTATGCACCAACAACCAGATCCAGAGAAGGAGATAGGTGTACCAATTGTACCAATTGTTGCAGTAAGAAATCGACCAAATGTGCAGCAGAAAAGGGATGAAAGATCAGTAGTTGGGGAAATGTGGACTTGGTTACAGAAGTGAGGCTGGAGATAGAATGATAGAATTCTAAACAGTGATTTATTCATTGCAAATAGCTTTTATAAGAAAAACAAGTGACAGTTATACACATGCACCTCACCTGATTAATTGATATTGGTGACTGACTGTATCGATGGAAGAAAATTGTTGAGGAAACTCAGTATCAGCTGTGAAAACTAGGCCAGGTGCTGATTGTGGAACAAACCATCATACTCAGTATGCAAGTTCAGATTGAAGCTAAAGGTTCAGTTGGTGTTGTGGTTAAGTGCTTGGCAGATAACTGGATGGTCAAAGGTTCAAATTCAACAACCACACTGGGCAAAAGACATGACATTCTACCTTATAAAGAGTACAGCTTTGGAAACCCTATGGCGCATTTACACTGTCCTGTAAGGCTGCTGTGAGTCAAACCAACTTGATAGCAGTGTTAGGCTTTAGTTTGGGTTTTCTTTTCATTTGTACAATATAAGAATAATAAAACTTTAGAACTTTTCTTTGAAGTGTCTTAATTTTTCTCTCCTTTGGCAGGATTAATTTCTTTATGTAAGTAGTTGACATGAATAATTTTCTTGTTCTAGGGTAAGGGAAGTGAGTTAATTCTGTAACCTAGGATTTATCTAAATGAACTCAGGCTTGTTGTACCTTTATGTGACTCACATGCACATAATAGGTATTGCTACCACCATTAATAGTTGTTTTCTAAAAGCCTGATGAAAAACCTAGTAAGATATTGAAAGAGACTAATAATACCTATTTAACCTGTTTGCTTCTGTATTCCTTATCATTTTAGACCCCTGCAGCTACCTTTGAAAAACACGGAGAGCACCTGTCCCGAGGTGAAGGTAGATTTGGAGTTAGCCGGCGTCGACATAATTCATCTGATGGTTTTTTTAACAATGGGCCCCTTCGAACTACAGGAGGTAAGCCATGCCCAGTTTTCGTGATTACATTTGAACTGCTCAGGTTACACCAGGTGTTTGCTGGTTGCTGTTGAATCAGCTCCAACTCATGGTGACCGCATGTCCAACTGAACAAAACATTCCATTCTCTTAAACTGTCTTGTTTTTTCCTACGTTTGCTCTCTAAGTGCCACTGAAACTTGTCCAACCTAGGTGACCTTGTTGGTATTTGAAATAGCAGTGGCATAATGCCAACATTGAAGCAGAACAGAAGATGCTACATTGTGACAGACTGATGATTGGTAAATGCTGGGAGTGTATTTCAAATCTTTTATGTGCATAATTCTCAAATACTCCAGTTTTACTTTCTAGGTGTAACATCTTATGTTCTTCTCATGAATTACATAGTTGAATTCATAGAATAAGATGCACCTGACCCAATCAAGCCATGGTATTTTCAGTTACTTCATATGCATTAAACTTTGAATTAAATGAGTAAGTAGTACTGAAAATGAAATCTGTAGCCAGCATGCTCCTAGTTGAGGAGCATAGTGAGACTTCATCTCAATATTTTGGGCATGTTGTCGGGAGGGACTAGTCCCTGAAAAAGTACATTGTTGTTGTATGCCATTAAGTCAGAACTGACACATGGCTGAGCTGACCCTCACACATTTTCAGAGTCAGTAAATTGCACAGGTGGAGATTGACCATCTCCTGTAGAACCGCTAGTAAATTCGAACTGAATGCCTTTCAGATTACAGCACAGGTTCTTAATCAGTAGGCCTACAAAACTCCCTTAGGAAAAATATATTATGCAAGGAATATATTTTTTTGTTTCTTAATCATTTATTGAAGAGATTTCCTGAAGGACTTTTGATTTTTTTCCAGATAAGGAAGCGTCTGGCTCAGTAGTTTCTGAATTTCCAGAGAGTAAACAATCTGATGTTGTTGCCTTCCTTATTCTAGATTCCTGGCACCAGCCCTCCCTGTTCCGCCATGACTCTGTGGACTCTGGTGTCTCTAAGGGAGGATCATATGCTGGAATCACAGGAAGTCTGTCTGGATGGCATGGCTCTAACCGGGGTCATGATGGCATGAGCCAGCGTAGCGGAGGTGGCACAGGGAATCATCGTCACTGGAATGGCAGCTTCCACTCCCGGAAAGGCTCTGCCTTTCAAGAAAAAACACCAACAGAGATTCGGGAAGAAAAGAAAGAAGACAAGGCAGAAAAATTACAGTTTGAGGAGGAAGACTTTGTAAGTCTTAGATATTTAACTTAAACCTTAAAGGCAAAAACTAAACAGAAGTTGGGGGAAAAGTCTTGTTAGGAGGCAAAATCTAGCAGTTGCAGGTAAAGAAATAAGTGTACTTATTTTAAACTAATAAGTATGTTTTTTGTTTTTGTTTTACACATTTCCCTTTTTAAAAATTTTTTTTTCTGTTACTATTTTGTGTGTGTGTGTACCGTAAAATCAGATCTGATTGGTACAGTAGGAGATTGCCCCTCCTTCTCCAGCAGAGCCTATGGTGGATTTGAACCGCATACCTCTGGGATTAAATTAAGTATACTTTTATGAAATTTTTGGGTTTTATATATTTTTTTTAAATTTATTTTATTATTTGTTGTGTGCGTGTACCATCAAATCAGATCTGACTGGTACAGGAGGAAATTGTCCTTCCTTTCCCGGCAGAGCATGTGGTGGATTTGAACCGTGCTCCTCTGGGATTGCAGTGCAGCTTCCTGCCACTAGGCCACCAGAACTCCCCTTATTTTTTTGTTTTTAAGAAAGGAGTAACGAGTATGAAAGTGATAATCAAAATTCCTGTTCAACTTTTAGAACATTTTAGTATGGTTTTTATGCCATTGAAAACTCAAAAACTCAAACTCATTGCCAGCAAGTCAGAACCAATTCAGTGCTGACACTCGAGAAGGTTTTTATTATTATTATTATTATTAAATTTTATTAGTTTCAATGAATCGAGAAGGTTTTTAGAGGTAGTAAATCACATGGTAGAAGCCATTGATAGGTTCGAATTAACCTGTAGAATTTATGCCATTAAAATTTAAAAATACTAGGTTACCCTAAATTTGATAAAGTTGAGTAGTCAAATGTAATTCTGTCAAAACTCCCCTTCGTATGTTACATTGCCTTTCTCGAAGTATCCTATTGCTTTTTGCCCTTTGTATATGATAATTATATTATGTTATAAACGTGCAGTTAATATATTTTAGCTGTAATCCACATTCTGTAAAACTTGATTTTATCTAGTATGTGTTGAATTACATTTGTCTGGGCATCTAAATGAAAAGTTGAATTTTTGAGAGTATCTTTTAAACTAAATACCGCGCTGCAGATTGTTACACTGTAAAAGTACGCTCCATTATAATCCTTTGACTTTCCCAAAAGGCACGGACTTTTTCGGAGAGGAGAAAAATATTTTTTTACCTGGTATTAGATTTAAAATTTTGCTATTACATCAAGCGTGAAAATACCAATAAAGGCAATTTTTTTTTCTTCCATTTATGGGAAGGTTTTTGTTTTAGGTATATAGAACAGCATTGAGAAAAACTGTCACTGTATATACATCATCAGGCTTTGCCAAATATTAATATTTTCTCACATATGCTCTAAAACATTCTTTTTACAAAAGAAAAGTTAGTAGAATTGTGGCTTAAACCTGCTTGATTCTAGTCCCAAGGGAGTGCTGGTGGTTAAGTGGGAAGGATGTGCTTCGGAGTTCACTAACTGCTCTGCGAGAGAAAGGTGGGCATTCTCCCTCAATGTCATTTACTGCCTCAGAAAACCTACCAGATGGTCAGGTCAGCCATGAATAGACAGTAAATAACAATAATACTAGTCTCACTTTCCTCTAAAGAGTATATTGCTTTATCATCCTTGTATTTGTTTTTAGAAAGTTTTGATGTCTCTGTGTGGTATATATAAGAAATTTTTAGTATTATACTGCATATTTTTTATCTTTATGTTAATAGGAACTAATGTAAAATAGTTTATTTTCTGAAAATGGTTTGACATTTTTTTGTTGTAATATGTATCTATAAATATCAGTGAGTTTAAGCCAGGGGCAAGGTTGTGCCCCGGGAACATTTGACCATGTGAAAAGACAGTTGCTTGTCAGAACTGAAGATGGCCTATAGTGAATTGAGGTAGGAGTGTTGCTTACTTAACTTTCTGTAATGCACTCAGTAGCCCCTACAACAAAGAATTACTTGGCCCAAAATAACAGTGATACCATAGATTAAAAGCTGCCTTTAGAGTTTTCTTAACGTTTCTGTAGCAAATACTTTTGTTGTAGGAATATACAAAATTTACTCATTTCCCTATTGATATTGAAGTTAAAAATTACTTCTTTGAGGGAGCTCTGGTCACCTAGTGGCAGGAAGCTGCACTGCATTCCCAGAGGTACACTGTTCAAATCCACCAGAGGCTCTGCTGGAGGAGGGGCAATCTCCTCCTGTACCAGTCAGATCTGATTTGACAGTACACACACACAAAATAATAAAAATTTTAAAAAATTTTAAAAAAATAATTTCTATGAAGGACAAAATAAGGAAAGAGCTAATGAGTACTATGTAGTTAACTTGAAAAGAGTAAAAAGAAGGAGCCAGATTCTTAAGTGAGGAGAACTAATTTGGGGGATCAAAGGGATGAGTGAGATCTAGAGGTGTACAAATTACTGGGAAAGGGGAAGGAAACGAAGAACAAAAACAGGTAAGTAAGGAAGACTGAGTGAGAAGTGAAGTTCAAGAAGGATATAAAGGGAATATTCTACCAGTGAACCACCCTGTCTCTTTTAAGGTGGTGGCTGCTGCTGTTAGATGGTGCCGAGTATGACTCCTAGTGAGTGATCCTATGAACAACAAATCTGAACTTTTTTCTGTCCTGTGCTATCCTCATTATCTCTGACATACTGGAGCCCAGGCTGCAGTCATTGTGTCAGTCTGTCTCATTCAGGATCTTCCTCCTCTTTGCTGACCCTGCCTTTCCATTTTGTTCCTTTCAGAGGAGGGAGGGGGAGAAAAAAAAGCTTCACTATTCTTGCCTCCAAGTGCAGCATTCTGGCTACACTTTCTCCAAGACATATTTATTTATTGTTTTTGCAGTCCATGGGATGGTCAGTCCTCTTCTCAGACACCACAGCTCAAAGGCATCAATTCTTCTGTCAGCCTTATTAATTGTCCAGCTTTCGGAGATACTTAGCAAATGATTGAAAAGAGCATGGCTTAAATCAGATGCACCTTAGTCTTTATACTTACATCATTGTCCCTTAGTATTTTGGAGAGGTCCTTGACAGAAATAAGGCTCCAGGAATAGATGGTATACCAATTGATATATTTCAGTTAACAGATGCTGCCCTGGACGTGCTCACCAAGTTGTGCCAAGAAATCTGGAGAACGACCACTTGGCCAACTGACTGGAAGAGATCGATATTTGTTCCTATCCCAAAGAAAGGCGACCCAACTGAATGTGGAAACTACAGAACAATTTCACATGCAAGCAAGATTTTACTGAAGATTATCCAAAAACGACTGGAACAGCACATCAACAGAGAACTACCAGAAGTCCAGGCTGGTTTCAGAAGGGGTCGTGGTACTAGAGATATTGTAGCTGGTGTTAGATGGATCTTGGCTGAAAGCAGGGAATACCAGAGGAATGTCTATCTGTGTTTCATTGACTATGCAAAGGCATTTGACTCTGTAGATCATAACAAACTGTGGCTGACTCTGAGAAGAATGGGAATCCCAGAACACTTGATCGTTCTAATGCGAAACTTATACTTGGACGGAGGCAGTCGTCAGAACAGAGCAAGGGAACAGTGCATGGTTCAAAATTGGGAAGGGCGTACACCAGGGATGCATCCTATCTCCATACTTTTTCAACCTATATGCAGAACAGATTATCCGGGAGGCTGGGCTCTATGAGGAGAAATGTGGGGTCAGGATTGGTGGACGATTTATCAACAATCTGCGTTATGCGGATGACACAACCCTGCTTGCTGAAACTGAGGAGGACCTGAAGCACCTGCTGCAGAGTGTCAAGGACTGCAGCCTACAATATGGATTGAGGCTCAATGTCAAGAAGACAAAGATTCTCACCACTGGACCAATTGGCAGCATCAGGATGGATGGTGAAGAGATTGAGATTGTACACAGCTTTAGTTTACTTGGCCCATAGTCAACAGTCTTGGCACCAGCAGCCAGTGAATTAAAAGGCGCATTGCCATGGGAAAGTCTGCTGTTAGGGACCTCTCCAAAGTGCTGAAGAGCAGTGGTGTCTCTCTGGAGACTAAGGTGCGTCTGATACAGGCCATAGTCTTCGCAATCACCTGTTATGCATCAGAGAGTTGGACAGTGACCAAGGAGGATAGAAGGAGAACTGATGCCTTTGAGCTGTGGTGCTGGAGAAGAGTACTGAGAATACCATGGACTGCTAGGAAAACAAACAGATTTGTCCTGGAGAGGGTTAAACCAGGTGGCTCCTTGGAGGCAAGGATTCTGAGGCTCCATCTAACTTACTTTGGACAAGTAGTGAGGAGAGACCGGTCCTTGGAGAGGGACATCATGCTTGGGAGGGTGGGGGGATGGCGCAGGAGAGGAAGGCCCTCTATGAGGTGGATTGATTCAGTGACTGGGATAATTGGGATGGGAGTGTCAGAGACAGTGCGATTGGCACAGGACAGAGCGGAGTTTAGGGCTGTTGTACATAGGGTCACTATGAGTCGCAGGCGACTCAACGGCACATAACAACAACAACAACCTTGACAGCTGACTTCACAGTACAACTCACTATTTGATTTCTTGACTGCTGGTACCAGTGGTGTTGAATGTAGATCCAAGTAAGATGAAATAATTGACAATTTAGTCTTTTCTCCATCTGTTATGGTGCTCCCTATAGGCCCAGTGGTGAAAATGTTTTTGATGTTTTGTAATCCATATTGAAGACTCATTTTTTATTCTCTGCAGCAAACGTTTCTAGTTCTCATTTTCATCAAGCAAGGTAGTATCATCTGCATGACACAAGATTTTAATGAGTCTTTTCTGATCCTGATGCCACATCACTCTATAAATTCCAGCTTCTCAAATTATTTTCTCAGCATACAGATTGAAAGAAGGGATACAGCTTTGATTCACACCTTTCTTGTTTTTAACAATGAGTGCTCCCCTTGTCTGTTTGAATAAGAGCTTCTTGGTCTAGGTTTCATATAAGCATAATTAAGTGTTGTAAGATTCCCATTC